CAGTTTAATATCAAGTTTGAAATAAAGCATTAATAGTAGTAAAGTATTAATTGAGAAACTGCCCACATTACACAAATTCAAATTTTTAGAAACAAACCCTATTTTTAGGTAACACTGTTATGTTTACATTAAAAAAAAACTTTTATTTTGAAAGACTTGACTCTCCTAACCCGGGTTTGACCCTAAATAAATGTCTCAATCAACACCCACGGTGTGATGGATGACAGGTTTTACCTTCCAAGCCTCCTCCAGCTCAGCGGTCCATCTCTCCTTCAGGATGGGCTGCACAGCACAGATGAACTCTGCTCCCACATACTGGAAAATAAAGATTGAGTCATTTATTCGGTGAATAAAGTAATTTTAAATATTTAAATCAGACGCATCTGGTTCTCTGGCTACTGGTGGCAGCTGGTCTAACAAAAAGGCATCAGATTAGCTGAAATTCTGTCGACACCGCCGGCCTCTTACACTGTAGTACTTAGGCGGGGCGTTGTAATGATAATGGCTCTTTCCCAGCTCCATGGCCAGAGCTTCCAGTCTCTCTGGCTGATCCAGTCTGGCCACACTTTTCTCAATAAAAGACATCACCCTGAGAGATGGAAAAAGAAAAAAAAACACTCAGGGTCAGTTTATTCAGACAGATTGAGACATCAATAAACAGCAACTATTATGATGAAAATAACAGTTTTGYGTTGACAGGAAGCTGAGAAACAAAGAAAAAAAGAAAATAATAATAATAAACGTGGCTTGTTGCAACGCCTCACATGCAGAACAACGTTTATAGAAGCCCGTCGATCAGCTGCTCGTGATTGATTCTGTTCGTTCTTGCAGCAGGGTGGTAATCTGCCTCTGCAATATGCGTGACAGGGTTTAATTTTCTACAGTCGTTAAATGAAAACCAAACAGATTTACTGTCAAGTGCAGGACGTGTGATATTATTTTCAACAGCAAACAGATAAATGAAGTTAGCTCTCGTGTTCCTCTCAGCTTATTCACCTCAAAATTAAAACACGCAGATGAGCTTTTCTTCCATCTAAATCGATATTTATGTTAAAAGCATCTTCTTATTTAAACTGGAGAGAACAGGCTGGCATTATAACGGTACTGAAGATAATGTTTGCATTTGTAGGTTTTCAGAGGACGCTGCTCCTGAGGTTGAGAGAAACGTCTCATTTGTTCTATATTTTCGTCACTGTCTTGATGACATCACCGCGTTGCACAATCGCACAATTGCCTTCTGCTTTGTTTGGTCCGTGTTAAACAAGCTGCTATTGTAAGTTTTTCCTCCGTCTCCTGAACACAAGACTGAAAAACCCAAGCAAAATGTCTGGTCTTAAAGGAGATGTTTTATAAATTATTATAAATTAGCTTTTTATCCTCAACGACTCTTCTCTCTTCTTAACTATGGAGGTAAAATACATTTTAGACATTATTACAACTTTTAAAGCACAGCATTAAAAATAAAAAGTTTTTATTGTTATTTTTCTGACATTTAGCTAATTTTTACTAAATGAGTAAATCTAAATGTAAAAGTTAAATCTTAAATGTTGCAGCTGCATAATAAAGCTTACATTTAAAAAGCTTCGCTGTTGGTGTACAGCTTTTGTTGTGATGTCATCATCCGGAGACAAAAGCAAACGMTAACCCTGCTAATGCTGCTTAAGATGACATTTAAAGTCTAAATTCAAAATGTGTTAATTGAAAACCATATGGATGGTACCTGTGGTCCACTGCATTTTTATACTGAAGTCTTTACAGGTGTAGAATTTGTAGCAGAGTGGTTCTATGTGTCGATACATCAGGTGGTTGCTGCCATTAAATGGACGTTATTAGCCGTTATCAGTCCCATAGAATGGCTTCAGACTATCATCTGGTTAGTGTGAGGCATAAAGCCACTAAGGTTAATTTTAGAGAAAATGACCTGGGCTACGATAAAGTAGACCGGACTCTGGCGGTACCAGATTGTTGCATTCCAACGTACATGGCACTGGGAACCCACTAGGGGGCACTGTCAGGACAGTCTGAAGCCATTCAATGGGACTGATAACTACTAATAACATCCATTTAATGGACTGATAACATCCGAACCAGCTGGTTTCTGATAGGTTCTGTAAAATCACTCTGAAAATACAGCAATGTACTGATATTAGACATATTAATTTGTACTTTTGAATACTTGAGTACTTTTAAATGCATATGCTTTTGAAGACTTAAGTATTTTCAAAAGTAAGTACTTCAGTACTTTTTACTTGAGTAGATTTTTGACAGAGTGACTTCTACCTGTAGTTGAGTAGATTTGACCCTGAGTATCAATACTTTTACTGAAGTACTAGAGTTGAGTACTTTGTCCACCAYTGGTTAAAATTCAATTCAATTCAGTTTATTTATATAGCGCCAAGTCACAACAACTGTTAACTCAGGGCACTGTACATATAAATAAATAAATAAATAAATCTAAAGAAAATCCTCCAATCTTGTTCTTAAAAATACTTTTTAATAATTATTAGCCCTGCGATGGAAATCAGAGTGAAACAGGCTGTTTCCATCATTAACTACATCATTCATTCATTCATTCATTCATTGGGCTGATGGTGTTGTTGGTGCCTCTGACTGACCGTAGGCCGTGGGCCCTGAGCTCCCGGTTGGTCCTCAGCCTCTCCAGGTCCTCCACGTCTCGGAACAGGAAGAAGACATCCTTGCACTCGGGATGGGTCTCAAACAACCTGTCACCAGGACGACAGCAGCACAAGCAGCCATCCGTGAGCCTCGTACGAAGCAGCCCGTCACGGTCGAGACAAACCTCCCAACCGTGGCGCTGCAACCCCAGGAGTTTCAGGATTAGCATAAAGTCACACGGCTCTAATCCCGTCTGCCGCTGAGGGGGGAGACGCACGCATTCATCTCATCAGATGTTTGTCTCATTTCACTGTTCAGACTTTTTGTTTTCCTGTTTTACGCCCGTTTCCAGACTGTCCACAGGACAGAACCTCGGTGTCATCAAGCATCAAATCTGGCAGTTTAAAATCCTGCATCCTAACCAGGCTGCATCCCCGCGTCACGTTGTAAAACATGAGCCTTTTGTGAGTAATTTATCAGTTGATAACGCTCACACCACTGGTGTCTGTTTTCTGCTGCTTCTCACSCGACACTCGACCCCGTTTGATCAGCGCCTGTGGAGAACTGCTTGTTTTTCTCCGAGCCGCTATCTTTATGTCTTTCATTTAACCTGCAACAGAAACCAAACCTCCCAGCGCAGGATAATCTCGTTTCCTTCTTCCTAAACGTTAATAATGGTTCACGGTTTGCTTTTCTGGGCGTAAATCTCATTTCCTGACTCCTGATTTCCTACAGAACAAATCATCATTTACTGTTTTATTTTTTTTTTTTTCAGAAACAAACAGAAAGGTCAAAGTAMGACTCAGTGTCTAAAAACTATAAACTAAATCTGACAAATTCTTGAACAGTGAGCGACAGTTTTATGTAGGAACTTAAAAAGACACATCCAGAGTTAAAGAAAATATAACAAGCCTGTGAGCGGCTTGGTGTACAACCTCTGTATTTTGGAGAGATTTAAGAGAAAACTATATTTTAACATACACTTTGCATATGTACCATCAAATTTGTTGGCGTTATAGAAAATCAATTATGACATCATCAACAGCCAGTTGGGTTTGGGGTTAGAAAATCTTCCAAAATCCTAAAACTTAAACCACGATTGTTTCAAAGCAGCAGCTCCGACTTATTCAAACTATGAAGGATGTTTCTACTCTGAGCTCCACACGAGGTTGGGTTTTCTTCTGCAGATTTTGTCTGACTGAGCCACGTGCTTTAAAGGGATCCACGATTAGTTGTAACATTAAACTTTATTTGATAAACATTTATCCATCCATCCATCCATC